CAGGAATTAACCGGGTTTTACGTGACAAAAGTATCTGATTTTATCGAAAACGGAATAGAGGCACTTTTTTTACTACATATGGATCCATTTTTAGTCAAAAAAGAGAGTGGGCCGATTCCCGACCTTATGCGGCCCCCTCCTTTGTCCAGCCATCTATATGATGATCTCATAACACACCAAATACGATCATATTGATCATTAATTAATTGACGAGTAAAAAATAGTTGATGTATAGTAGTAGTAAATATGAATAAGACTAGTATTAATACAACAGGTTTCGATATTTTTTTACTTCGTTTCTTATCAAATTTTGTTCCTCCAACAACAACGGCTATTCTCTCAGCAGTAATACAAGCAGTTAACCAATCAAATATGTGTGTGAAAAACGTTAACATAAATTCTAATGCCATACATCCAATATAAATTATTGAACAATTTTGTTTTATACTTATTTGTGTTATTAATAGATAGAAAAATCTTGCTGCTAGAACAATTAAAATTATCCGACTTATTATTGAGATACATAATAAATAAAATCCACAACCATTTTCATTTGTTTTTGATTGAGAAAATGCTATGAATGATAGAGTATTTGATATTAATCCAATTACAACGATGAACAAAACAATTGTAAATGTTAATTTGATTATTAATTTTTGATTATTTAATGACACACCAATTTGTATTTCCGTTCCAACAAGAGCATCTAATGTTAGAGCATATTGAGCTGATGAAAGTTCACATCTTGAACCATAATAATATTTTTTACAAAAATACAAACCATAGTTATGATTTCATTATGTGCACTGTCAATACATCGACCTTCATTTAAACATTCATTATTATCACTACCATTACCAGTACGATGATCAAATACGAGACAATCAGCATATCGATTACTGTTACAGAAACACATATAAATATCATCCTGAAAACATTTAAGTGTTTTATTGTTCATATGACACATTCTATGATATAATTTAATACCATTTAAAGATGAAGTAAACTTTAATAATTCTTTTACATGTGGACATCTGTCAAGTTCGTTAACAAATGTAACAATAGATTTTGTTTTGTTGGGAAGAAAAGCTAGAAGATAATGCGTGCCATAAAAATGATCACTATCAACAAAGATTTGTACATAGATGAATGATGAAAAATACAACTCTTTTTCATAAACAATTGACAAATATTTATTCGATTGAATATTTCTATATAAAAACCGTTTTCGATGTACAAAAGCATTTAAAGAATTTTGATCAACAAAATGTATGACAACAGCTGAAATATCTATATGTAGAAATTGAATTGACACTTTTGCACTACTATATTGACATTCATCACCAAAATAATCTTCTGAACAAACACAAATATATTTTAATATTCGATCATCGAATGGTAGGCAATGACCTTGATTCGCACACTGAATCCTCTTACATGGATTGTAACGAGCAGGGCAACTATATCCTGTGTGACCAAGTGGACAAATACAGATAGAATTTTCTACTGCTGTACCTACACACATCGCACCTTTATCACAACTATTACTGGCACAAATATCATTCCGTGACTTTTTATCACAAAGTTTGCCTGCCCATCTATCATGACACAAACATAATTGTCTTTTGAAATTTTGATATATTGAACTTAGCTGATATCTTGATTCAACCAAAATGGCTCGATTGCAGTAAATAATACCATGTACACTCAAAATTTCTGATAATTTTCTGCTCGATGGCCGTCTTACCACTGTACGTGGATATTCACTTAAGTAATCTATTTGAAATGGATTTACTTTTACGTTACTATCAAGGTCATAAAGCCATTCATCATCACTATGAAGACAGGCAAATTTGCCCGTACAACGCTTTTGACAAACGCCTGTTTCTTTACATACAACCGCGTTAAATGTAAACAAGCACTTGAGATTCCTCCAAGGACAAATCATTTCATCATCGTTCGATGGACAGTCAGTAACACCGTCACATACTTTTATTGCATGTATACAAATATTACTGTTCCAACAACGAAAACCCATCGGTGCTTCCAATTGTAATGAAACTTTTTGATCACGGCAATATTTTCGTTCATCATACGAATCCAAGCAATCAATGATGTCATTATTTACTTGTTCAATTGATAGACAAGTCAAATCAACAGCACCGTTTATGTTCAGTTTGAAACAATAATGTTCATTTATTTCACATTCTGCTATACCATTTTTTAAGGATGATTAAACTATTCTAGTTGGACAGTCTAACCCATCACGTCCATCTAAACAATTCCAAGCACCATCACATAATGTATAATCTGTAAGACATAATTCATTACAATCCGTTTCATCTGTTTCATTTTTCAAAAAATAATATTCATGTGTAAAACCATTACAATATTCATGAAAATTAATGTATGAAGTAAACTTAGAAGAAAGCAACAACTCGTCACCTCGAGGATATTGACAGCCAATATCATCTAACTCAGTACATTTAATGGGAAATGTTTCATCTGAATTATCTTCACATTGAGATATTCCATCTAGCAGTTGTCTTAAAATACATTTATCGGTTTTAAGACACTTAAAACGTGGATTTGTTAGATTTAATTTACAACTTATGTTTATAGCTTGCTCATCATTGGATAGGAGTGAATAGATAATTTTATGTGATCCAGCACAAACTCTGTGTCCATCAAGTATTCTGATATGCATATATCTCCACATTTATATGTACCAGACAATGAACAATCAATATGCCAGCTAGGTATGGATAGATGAGAACATCAAGCAGCAGTACGTTTTACCCATTCAAAAATATAGTTCCAGTCAGGAAGACTATTGGTAATGAAATCTCCTGTTTATTACATTGATAAATATCAGTATTTACTAGAATGTTAGTCGATTTAAGATTCTTACAAGTTGTATTAACATTATAACAAATGTTAGGCACTGGATTATTGTAATACCGAGTATACATTATCATTAGATATGTTATACGTATAAAAGGAAAAAGTACAGGCTTCGGAGGATAAGAATAGACAGGACGAAAAAATTTTTTGTTGAAAAATAACATTTCAACGAGTAATGAGCCATGTACGTGTATTTAGAGAAATACTATTTATAGAATGGATGTTTTATTAGAACAGCGCTGACGAAAAAAATGATAACTACTGTCCATTTCAAAAGATGGTGCAAACGGAAGCTACGAGTTATGATGATATGTCCATATGAAGGCCGTACGCTTATGGATATATTTTTAAATAGTTTTCAGTCACATGTTACTAGCTATACTATACATAAATGTCGACCGTATTTTTCACGTCGACATGAAATGTACGAGGAGTCCTTTACTAGCGATGCTACTTATAAGGCATCAAAGATGTGAAACAACTCTCCCGAGCTGTTAGAACGGGTCTTGCACAGAAATAGTGTTTATGGGAGAGATGTTTTATTAGAACAATTTTGAAGTTCTTCTCTTTGATGCGAATGTATCATTATAACTCGTAGCTTCCTTTTGCACCATTTAGTGCGATAGGAAAATGCATGGTTGGAGAAGTGCAAAATACTCTGCATGGTTCGGCAGTTCAGTACAAAACCTTCTTTGAAGTGCGAAGCCTTTTTAGGATTCCTTACGCACTACGAAATCTTCACTACGAAACCTTCAAAAGGTTTCATAGTAAAAAAGGTTTAAACATCTATATCTATTTTTTCGGAAGTTGAGATAAAAAATGCCTGCTCTAATTTCATTTTCTCTGAACGTCTTTCTGTTCTAGGACAACGGAAAAAGAAGAATATTGATAATAATAACTCGCCACCACTAGTGTGACCATCAATCAGTCAATTTTGTTATCAATTGTCTCAATCTTCGCGACAATAATTTTATTATCATCAACTTCAATGCCTGGTCCTCGTCGTCAACTGCTTATAGACATGCACCAGTTATAGTTAACTGTAAAACTGAAGTTGTCATAGCTGTAACCGAGAAAAGTGCTAAGCTGTCGAAAACAGTTTTTAGCATTTTGGTGCTGAAACTTTCGATCTTACGAGGAAAGGACACTAACTGGCAAATCGCTTTTGGCCTAAAACTCAGTGGACAATAGGTTATCGACTATGCTGATTCCGAATATGACAATGATTTGGACCAATAGGCCTTTGGAGATCGGGTCCCTGGAAACCTGGTTTTCCAAGCCAAAATTTTATCGTTCCAAAAAAAATTTCCAACTCGGCCAGATGATAGAGCATTTCGCGAAACCTATAGAAAACATATTTTAAAAATTTTCCGAAGGTTTTTCGACAGTTTTCGTAACACTTTCCAGAAAAATCCAAGGTTCAGCCTCCAAAAACTGTCTGAAAACCTTCGGAAAATTTTGAAAATATGTTTTTTATAGCTTTCGCGAAATGCTCTTTCTTCTGGCCGAGTCGGAAAATTTTTTTGGAACGATAAAATTTTTGCCTTGGAAAACCAGGTTTCCAGGGATTCGGCATCCAAAGGCCTATCGGCCCAAATCATTGTCATATTCGGAATCAGCATAGTCGATAACCTATTTTTCACTAAGTGCTTTGAATTTGCGTTAACTATTGACGTTCTAAAAAGCTTATTTCAGTTCTTGGCTCCTATAGTAAATAAAGAAGGATCTTTGAAACGCAACAAAATTTCCTATTGTACGAATAATTCAAATTCTGAGTGAACAGAAAATAGAAATTCATATACCATGAATAAAAACATAGAATAAAATACCACATACTACACAAAATCTGAAATATTGAATATTGAAATGTTGTTACTTCTTGAGGCCTACTATTGCAATCGTTACTTAGAATTCTATTTTTATAAACAAATATTCAGCCTGTAAAACAGCTTGAACAGAACAAATTGATTCTTTTGCATGGGTTTACTCTCGAAATCGAAATTCATATATTCCAAGGCAAATTCTGAAAAACATTTTTCCAATTTATTTTATTTTCAGTATATAAAAAAACAGATGTCACTGGCTTCAGTTGATCCGATTCTTAAAACAATATCATATGTCTAATAAGTCAATCCATATGACGCCTACCACGTTATACATCGACCTATCGGCGTCAGTGACAAAAGACACATCTCTAGAAGCAGTTTTGGATGCTAATTCCAATCGTGAAAATCGTAGGTCTCTATCTAAGTAAAAAAAAGTTATGGACAAAACATTGTCTTCGAAAAAAGTGCTTTTTTATGCATTTCCCAGCAAAAATCACCAACTTGCAAAGCGTTTATCTCAACAAGTACGCATAGGAACAGATTGAGTTTGGTCTCATATGAAAGAGTTCGACGAGTTCTATCAGGTTCTAAAGAGGTAGTTCATGTGAGTTCTCAACAAGGATCTCTGGAGAACCAAGGTTTTCCAGAAAACCTTTGGGACTTTAAAATTTTGTCGAACCACATCAGTAGATAGCCCGTTTAATTCTGAGCAAAATGAGACGTCAAACAGCTCTCTCTGACTTTCCCATAAAACAGAGGTGTCTATCCTGTGGGACGTTTGAGGCGCAATGCCTCAAACAAACGTAAGGTGGTACGCTTTTTTGCTGTAGAAATTAATTTTTTAGGTGGTACACTGAGTGATCAACCTTCGAGGTGGTACAAAATGCCTCAAATATTCTGGTGGGGATGGGCGCCCCTGCCATAAAAAGCTAGAATTAAAATAGCACGGACGTTTGCCTCTTTTGAGCGCCTACCATATTTCAATTCTAGGGTTTTTGTGGGAATGTCAGAGAGAGCTGTTTGACGTCTCATTTTGCTCAGAATTAAACGGGCTATCTACTGATGTGTTTTGACAAAATTTTAAAATCCTTAAGGTTTTCTAGAGATCCTTGTTGAGAACTCACATGAACTACCTCTTTAGATCCTGATAAAACTCATCGAAGTCTTTCATATGAGACCAAATTCAATCTGTTCCTATGTGTACTTGTTGAGATAAACGCTTTGCAAATTGGTGATTTTTGCTGGGAAATGCATAAAAAAGCACTTTTTTCGAAGACAATGTTTTGTCCATAACTTTTTTTCTACTTAGACAGAGACCTGCGATTTTCACGATTGGAATTAGCATCCAAAACTGCTTCTAGGGATGTGTCTTTTGTCACTGACGCCGATAGGTCGATGTATTGGTGGTAGGTGTCATATGGATTGACCCTAATATTAATAACACTAGTAAACTCTTTTCTTGTGTTATGGGTATTCGAGAAAATTTTGGATTACCTGCAATTTTAACTTATAAATCAAATTCAATAGTATAGCTGGAAAGTTGTACTTAAATCAGGTAAATACTACTATGAAACGTGGCTTTTAGAAAAAGTTAATCAAATACACGATATATTGACTAATTTCAACAAAATGGTGAAAATGAGTGTAATAAACGCAATGTCGCGAAAATAAGACAGAGAGAAATAAAGCAGAAGTTTCATACGTTCCTAGTGTTAGTAGCACTGTATTTTTATGGCTAACCGAGTGAACTTCGTTCAGAGCTTTTGCTGAAGAATGGGCAAGGTATTTAATGTTATGACCATTTTCACCTTGTTGTTGAAATTAGTTAACGTTTTGTGTATTCGATCAACTTTTTCTCGAAGCAATGTTCTATAGTAGTTTTTACATGATTCAAGTACAACTTGATGTGCTCTTTTCTTTGTGGCAAACGTTTAATTGATCGAATGATAGTTGTGGGAAGTCCGGAATCGCATCAGACACGTTCAGCTCTTTCCACTGTATCGGCTTTTCGGTTTTATCTTTCAATTTAGTTACATATCGACCAATCTCATTTGTTTCATTACGCAAATCAATCATTTTAGTTTAAAATTTTTATTTAAATGAGAAGAAAAAAACTATTAAAGACTATCGTCCAACAGTTAGAAAAAATTAGAAACTAGCTTTCGAAGTATGATTTTTGTGATAAGTTTAAAACTTGTATTAGGCCGTTTAATATCTCAGTTTTTGCTTGCACAAGAATGTCTTTTCTACGCAGACTTAGCCTTTTTCTTACCATCGAATAGTTTATTTGCTTGTTTTATCTGTCTTTAACTGCTGGTATCGAAGAAAAATTATCTCCAGCATTAATCTCCACAGCTTTCAAAGTTTATCTGTTACAAAAGGGTATTTATGTGCAAAGATAGATATAGAAACTCGGCCAAGAAACATAATTTATTATAATATTCGATGAAAATGTTCGAAAACAAAAAATTGAAAGTGAATAACTTAAAATAACTAACTACTGCACTATAAAATGTTTTACTTCCATATAAATTCTGCAATGAGGACAGTTGAACGTATATGAGCTAATCGTAACTTTTTTGTACGGTTATTGAAAAAAACGAAAGTGTTCCCCAAAAAAATCTGAGTCGTACATTTTGTAGCCCACACTTCACTGAGGCCCCGCAAAAAATTTCCCAACTACCAGACGCGAACTGGCTGAGATATTTCAGTAACAAGG